TTATAAATATAAGTATACTAGTTTGAAAACAAAATTTGTCAGTGTAATTTATACATATTATCAATGTTGTTGAACATGTTTTTCAACACAACTTAATAAACTTTCCAATGTAAACATACAAAATAAACTTTTAAATTTAAAAAATAAAGTATTGTAAAGCGCATCGTAACACACGTCGAAACGTCGAACTAAAAACTAAAATGACTCTGCCTCTGCCAGTTCTTTTTGTTGCTTTCGCTGTAATCGTTCCCTAAATATATATGTATATAACAATTAATAATAAAATATCACTTTAATATATAAATTTATAAATATTGCCACTCTTCCTTGTGTTAACTCACATATCTCTGTCATGACGCAATTTGACTTGAATTAACCATTTGGAGATAACTTCATTTATTTGTTTGTCATCTGTTTGGAATTTCGCATGAACACATTCTAAAAAAGAAATTTATTTTAATATTAAAAGAGCCTTGGTCAAAATTATAATTATTGGAAATGTGTTGATAATATATAATTAAATAATTATTTAATTTATTTTGAATGAAGAAATTATATTTTAATGTTTACTAACGTTTTATGCACTTAGTTAATAACAAATCTTTAAAAGCTGCTTTCTTAGCATCTTTGCCATTCCAATAATATAGCATCGAAACGTAATTAGTAATAAAATTTTTCAGAATTGTAATTATCATGTCATGATATGTTTTTTCACCTAACTGCCTCATAAAAGTTATCTAAAACATTGAAATTAAAATTGGTAACTATATTATTCGTTATATGAAATTGTTAAAAATAAAATAATCATCTTTTGACAATAAAGAAGAAAATGAAATTAACCCAGACAACACAAAATCTAAAATCTGAACATTAAGATATCTTTTAAACATCTCTCACAAAGATGTCTGCAAGACGTCTTATGTCTCAATTTTGGACTTTGTGTTGTCTGAAAATTTAGAAAATTAATAGGAAATAATTTCAGGTATATATATGAAATTACAGTATATCAACATACAAAATGATTTTATAAATTTAAGAAATATCGAAGACTCTTCGCATAATGTAATTTTATATATACGTAAAATTATTTCCCATTAATTAAGTCAATTCCCAGACAACATAAATTTATTGTAAACAATATATAAGCTTACCATATGGTTAAAGAAATTTGTATCTTGCAAATCCAATTCTAATTTTGTCATATCGCCAATGGTTTTTAAAGGCAAACATACAATGTCTTCAATATTAAAATATTCATCTTTTTTAACATTTATGCCGCTTTCTAGCTTTTCTTCGAGATTTCTCAATCTCCCATCAATACAATTCAACTTTGAATCCATTTTATTGCACTTACGTATAATTCTCTTTTGAGTTCTAAAATATTGATTATATTAATACAAACTAAAATTGGCCAATACCATGAAATATAAAAACAATTTCATATTAATATTTCTTTTATACATACCCATATCCTCTAAAATTGTTGAATTACAATTGTTAACATTTAACATCCTTGAGTCAATGGTTGCAATTGGCTTTTTCAAAACCTCACGCGCAGATTCATTTATGGTATCACGAGAAGTAACTTCTTGTTTAGCATGAAATAGCGAAGATGATGATAAATCTGTACGATTACAATTTTCTTTCTGCTCATAACTTGTTTTATTTGATAATCTTGAATGTTCTCTATTTGGACTCTTCAAAGAGTATTCTGAAGGCTTGTTCATAGAGAGCGTAGTTGGTTTTTTTGGCGGTGGAAGTAACATACAACGTAAATCCTCATATTCATCGTCGGAATGAATATTTTTTTTCGCCCTATTTTGACGATTTTGTTTATTATTTTCATTAACTGATGAATCTATATCAGATAACTTTTCTGCCAGTTTCACCTTGGCCATTCCACTCTCGTATGTATCTGAAATATTAAAGAAGAAATAAAATGTAATGTATTAAACAATCTTTAGTTAAAAACTAATAAAAGGCATTTTTTAGCAAAACACAGATGACATAGTGAATTATTTAATTCTTTTTTAACACTTTCAAACAACAAAGAATGTATATAATGTCAATATAATGTATTTTTTAATCTTATTACCACATATCGAAAACATGTTGAGCTGTCAGGTCAATCGCTTTGAAAAGTTGTTATTTTTGTAAATAATCAACATGATGCATCCAGATACAGGATAATACGAATACGTCTAGTTGTGGTTTGAATTTTATGCAGGAAGATATTCATGGAACCGTGTATATGTATATTGTAAAGTTTATTTTAGAAAAGAAATTGCTTTTTATTACGTATCAATATATATTTGAAGTAATCATTCATTCACTTACTTGCTGTTGCAAAAATACGGACTGTTTTTACTATTTTCCATTTTTCGGTATCTATTTCTCTGCATTCAGAAACTGCTTTGTTTATTAGTTTGTAATTTTCATATGGTGGCCAAAAGCATTCAGATTTTCCGAGTAACCGTATACAGGGTACTAAATGTAGTTCGTCTTCAAATTCAACTACAAAGAATCGGGCCATTTCACTGCATATCCATTTCATGATGCTACAAAAAATAATGCGAAGTACACACATATATCGAGAACAAAATAATATAATACATATAAAATACATAATATATAAAAAGTACAAAATACATACACACACGCATACGCATACATATGTAATAAGGAATATATTTATAAATTGTATTATATATTTTATTGCTCTTCTTTGTTAAGTATGCACAATTGGAAAAACAACGAAATCATTGCGATTATATGGCATTTTCCACATTTTACTTCGAATTTTATCACATGGCACAAGGCATACAGAAATTTCTTCGCGCATAATTTGCTCACCCAATTGTTCTGATGCACAAGAATAAACCGGATTTGAATACAAATTTCCGACTATTTTCAACTTTTTACCAATAATAAAATTTCTATTGTCGTTACATTGAACAAAATTCAAAACTGATATTACAATTCCGTTTTCAAATAAAACACAATTATTACTTGAACTATTTGCATGAATTGTATATGTTTTACTGCGTAATATTTTATATTGAGAAGAAAAATTATATCCATTAATTAAAAGTCCATTTGAGTGAAGTTTTTGAAAACATGCTTCATGATTATTTTCCCGTTTCTTAATAGGCAAATTACAATTATTGATTTCGGCATATCTTCTCGATAATTGTTGAAGAAGTTTCTCATTCTTTCGAAGCATTTTCTTTATATTATATTTTCTTTATATTTGGCATATAATTTTCAAATCTGAAAGCACTAAATTCGTCAAGAGGTTCATACTTTTGTACATCAGAACAAATATGTAGTAAATTATTAAAATTATAAAACATAAATTGAACCCTGTAAATTTGTTTAAAACATTTTAAGAAATACTCCAATAACATTTGGGCCCATATAATGTTATTATTATTTGAAAGAATAGGATTAGCAAGAATTGTTACGGCAATGTGCAGAGTTATAAAATTTATATACATATCTTCCTTTAATATGCTTTTTAATACAACAGGACCAGTATACAAAATAAACTGGCGTAATTCCGTTGCCTTCCACATTTTTATGTCTTTTATTGATCGTGGATGTCGAGCAAAATCATTCGGTACCCTACTTTGTAAATTTAATAAAGCCCCTGAAATCTGGTTTAGCAACTGCTGAGATAATTTTACAGTACGAGCGCCTTGAACCCAAAGTAATATTAATTCTTTTACAAATCCTAAACATATTAAATGCATATAATCAAGTACTACATTAAAAACTAATCCAAAAGTAGGAATCTGCTTTAAAATTGTTTCTCCAATTTGATAATTGTCATATTTATTGTCAGAAAAATCTTGATCGGTTTATAAATTATCAACTATTTTCATTGCTGGAAAACATAATCGCCCATCAATGTGTTCACCTTTAATAGTGCATCGTGTACAACAGTTATAACCAGTATAATTTTTTATGTTTAAAACAAAAGCTTTTGCCGGGGCATCACAAATCAAGCCATGTAAATTAATCTTTACTTTAATTCCATTGTAAAATAAGCTATTACTTATTAATAAAATCGCTTCATTAACAAAATGTCGCAAAAAATCATTGTTATTATATGGTTTGGTTTGATCGTAATATGCTCCAATAATAAAAACCGATTTTAGAACAGTGCCCAAACATAAAATAGGCCATAAACTAGAATTGCTTGATTTGGAAATTGGTAAACTATCTATATTTATAAAAATGTCAAGATTATCAGTTATTTCACCTTTAATTTTCACATATTCATTTAACATACATTTTAAAGCATTTTCAAAGCCAAAATGACAATATTGTCCGGGCTCTATTTCAACGATTACTGTATGCCTTGGCGTTTTTAATAAAGTTCGAGGATCTTTCGGAAATGAATAATTTGTGTATTTTCGCAATATAACTAAAAGTGCTAACATTGCAACATGAAAAATATTGAACATAATAGCCCAAGAAGTTATAGCTTGAATAAATGAATTATCATCATGACTTTCAATTTCACCAAATTCAACATTTTCTATATTATAACTTATTGTTTCTTCAGTTACTTCGTTCATACTTGCATACTCAGTATCATTATCAGTATCACTTTCTATCTGTTCTTCGTTTGATTTCAAATCTATTGTATCGTTATTAATTAAATTATCACATACAAGTTCTTCACTATTGTTGATAAATTCATTTTCTACTGGCTCTAAGTTTTCAATAGTGTAACAATATGATAATTCATTGTGTCTCTATTTAAAAATTGTATTGATGTTTGATACATTAGAAATATTTAATAAATCAGAAGTTGTTTTATTACCAACAATTCTACAAATGTCTTTTAGAAAAAGAGGAGTAATTTTACGCTTTTTATCCATTATAAATAATGTACGAATTTTTAGAAAAAAAATTAAAATTTCTATTTAAATAAAAATTAAGCAATAAAATGAAATAAATTTCAACTTTCTTAAAATATGAAAAACTAAATTTTAATAATGCATATATAGAAAATTGAAAGAATATGCTACCATTATTTATTTTCACAAATTAAAAAGCAATACACTTATTGAACCAGGTATCATTAGATAAGTAATGTTATAGACGTTAAAAAACTGATAAAAAAAATGAGAAGATGCATTTTAAAAATAAATATGAAAAAAAAGAAAAATAAAACAATGCAGAATGACAAGAAAAATAAGGAATTAGATCTTAGGAATTGATAAAATGATCTAAATTATAAAGTCACTTTGTACATAAACAAAATATTTTTTTAATTTTTGCAGTATCTATATATTAGCATTCACAACGAAAAGTTAAAAAAAGAATATATATATAATGAAAAATAGAAAGTAACTCGAGAATGATTTAATAAATATAGAGAAAATTAATTATATCAAGTGCAACCAACAAGTATGTAAAGTAAGCAAAGTAAACAAAGTATCAAAATCCGTATCAAAATTTAAAAAAATGTCACGTTTTGATATACTTACATCAAACTATCCCAATGTTCTGCCTGTGGTAGTGCATGAACAAAACTGACCAAAAGTAACAATTGTACCAATATGATGCTGAGACCTGTTAATAAATGCGTATATAGAATTATTAAATAGACAAGAAAAACAGTATCAAGTTTTAAAGTTCTATTAATTTATTTATTTGAAATTAAACAAAAATATCTGTAAAATGTTATTAAATGCTTGTATATAACCTATTTTTCATATTTTAGTAAACCAATATCATTTAGAACAATGCTGTCGAAGATTTGTATTTATAGACACAAATATCGGCATTCACATCTATTGCTGTATTTATTCCTTTCATTTCTCATGAGAAATACTTTAGAAATAAGAGAAGTGAATACATGTACAACAGATATGAATGCCGAAATTTATCCCATACAAACCTTAGACAGTGTTGATTTAGTAAGTAAATATGAATTGATAGGTTTTTTATTCTTATTTTATTATATATGAGAACGGATCAATTTTACCTGATTTGCAACCTAATTGATTTGCTTGCGAACCACACAATGTTATTCACAGAAAGAGAATGGAACGAAGTACTTCTACTTATAGAGAGATAGAGACTGATAGAGACCTGAAAAGCGGGAAAGAATCTGATTGGTTAGTTGTAACATACGCCGATCGCGCATATAGCGTTCCGAGTCTGTTTCAAGCCTGTTCTACAATATATCGTATGTCGCTGTCGGAATACAGCCGATGGACTAATCAAAGGATTTGTTTTTCGAGACGAATTCTCCTTATTGGACCATCAACTGTGTTCCGACGTTCGACAGCGACGTACGACGTATTGTAGAACCGGCCTAAGGTCTGGAACACAATACGCCGTATGTCGGAGTTGAATGTCGGAACGCAGATGCGATGGTCCAATGACAGAATTTATTTTCGAGAATGAGTTCTCCTCATTGGACCATCGGCTGCGTTCCGACATCCAACATCTCCCACATCAGTCAACAATGTGTTAAGGGGGAAGTCTACTGTGACAAGGGAAAAAACAGGCCGATTTTCCGGATTTTTTTTCTAACAAAATATGACTCGTACATTAAATTAAATTAAACCGTCATCTTTATTATATATTCAAGTATTTGTAAAAAAATTTTCAAGTCGAAATATTCAAAATTGCCGTCGTGGCACTCCTTCAAGCGCAGGTCCGTTTTTTTTAGGTGCCCAAACGGTGTACATGAAATCTCACGTCTGGGTGATCTGAAACAAAAAACAAAATATGGTTATCATCTACATAGTATTGACTCTCGTCTGACGGAGGATTTTGTCGATAAAAAATTTTGGCGCCGAAAAAAAATTCTTGAAATTTTTTTCTATTTTTTTGCCCAAATTTGATGTTATTATTGTTTATAACAATTAAACAAAAAACGATATCAAAAAAATGCTCCGTCAGACGAGAGACACTATTCCAGAGAATATGTGGTTAAAATTTCAAGTCGATTCATTCATTAGAACTCGAGATATCGTGTACACCGTATTGAAAAACTTAGTTTCGAGAAAAACGCGTTTAAAGTTTCGGCATTAGTTTTTTCAATGAAAAAATCATTTTTAAGCTTCTTACCATTAATCGCCCATTCCTGCTTCATATAGTACACCTTCTTGTTCAAGGAAATCCTCTTCGAGTGCCGATCGCGCCGTTCTTCTCTCGATTCTCCCTTCTTTTGAAGCGTCGAACGACCGTTCGTTTGCTTGTGATATTCTGCGCTCGTCCACGGTGTTGCATAAATTGAAGGCGTTTGGTCCAATTTTGATGTTCATAACGTCCATCATTTTGAGGATACTGGAGTAGCCTTTATTGAAAATGCTCGCAGCACAATACGACGCAATATCGACGGTTTTTGCGCCGCTGAATGTTTGTTTCGGAGCTAACGACCAGATCATCGCATTCAGGCTCTCGTTGCTGTTCTGTGTATATCCTCAGCGTTTGAAACAAGAATAAAAATTCAATCAAACGGTATCCATAGCCATTATTAATTTCCACTTCCACCGATTTCGTTCTTAATTTTTTCGCGGAAGAACTTGTCGATTCCGTTTCATTCTCCATCGTATGGCGATTTGGTGGCGACGGTCTTTTCCTACGTCGTGAAGGTCGTCCGGGAGTTTCGCGTGAACCCTTTCGGTCGAAAGAAGCAGGCTTCATTTTGATAAAAGTATAAAAACTATACGTTAGCCACGCGGGAAACGCCGAAACGATCACAGCTGTTCGACACACTGGCCCTTAAAATTACGCACTACCGGCGTCCTTACTGTTGAAATCGCTTCTAACTGACTATAAAATATACCTAGTGACATCTGTTGATCGACTTGGAGTATTAGAAATGTTAGAAATTGAATTGCAAGTCACTACGCTGTACCTGCCGAACAGATAGGAATTTGCCGCAGGTACGCGTTTCGGAGCGCTTCGGTAAAAGGTCGAAATTTCAATGAAGAAAAATTTAGCCGGCTATAACACCTAATGTACCTTATTTTAGAGGGTTCAAAGTATTTTTTAAGCCAATAAACAAAAAATTGATTTTTTGAAAATTTTACAGTAGACTTCCCCCTTAATAGAATTTATAAAAAAGAACCCAAACAGCACAAGATGTCCTGGGCCCGTCCCAGGGATGTCCTGAGGATGTAGAACATCCCCAGGACATACTCTGCATGTCTTTGGATATCTTTAGGGAACAAACGCTGATTTCTTGAAATATTTATTTATTTATTTATAATATTTATAATATTTATTTATTTTATCCGGGTAGAGATAGAAATGTATTAATAAAATAGTAAATAAGTTTTTATATTATATATTACGTCGAGTATCTTATGGTTGATTTGCTATATTGAATGAATATATTTATATATGAATATATGAATATATGAATATATGAAAAATTATTATAATACCATTTCCAAATTTATTTCACGTTTTAAAAATAACTCAACTGAAAGTATTGAAAAATTATCTTTATGTGAAATATTTCAGAAATATTTCTGTTGCAACATTTCATATGACATATTATAGAATTATTTCAGAATTGTTGCACATGAAATGTGAAAGTTGGAATGGTTTTGAAATCTTTCTGAAAGTTTTCTGCAACAATCGGTGCTGTATGGGTGAGAACAGCTATCCTAGAAATTATGAGAAATTATCAGTTGAAAAGACGTCGAATGAGCAACTTTTCAACCAAACAGACTGGTGGATATAAACGTCTAAATTTTGGTCAATTAAACGGTTATGTGTCCTTCAAATTAGACTTCTATAAGACATGTATTTAAACGTCTATTAGCCGTTTATGAGACGTTTAAAAGATGTTTAAAAGACGTGTATTAATGGCTTATTAGACGTTTATTTTGTTAATCAACCACTGTGCATATGCAGATATATGCCTATGATAGTACACCGACTATTTAATACACGTATTAAATAGTAATTTTTTTTTTAATTATTTTAATATCGATAATGCATACGTAAACAACGAGGTACTAAACTTGTACGAAACTTATACTAAACTTGTATGTCTTCTTGATGAATATCCAGTGTATATAGTGTAGCACACCGTTGTTTGCATGCATGGTCGATATTAAAATGATTTAATATAAAGTTACTATTTAGTACGCATATTAAATGATCGGTGTAGGCAATATTGATTATTTTCAACAAAGAACGTTGTATTACACAAAGCTATTTTATTAGTTATTATCTAACTTATTTTTTAAATAATATGTAGCATATAATAGCTTTATGTAACATAGTGTCCTTTGCTACAAAACATCTATAATATTTTCTGTTTATGTATTAATATGTTCATAAATTCATGTTAATACATACCTTTATTATACCAAGTGTACTTCAAAATTGTTCTATTATGTAATATACGGGTAAAATAAATAAAATATAAATATTTTAAGAGATCAATTTCATAAAGTTTACAACATATTCGTTATAAACTGTGACGTGGCGATTTCGCCGTCACCGATTATGACCGGGAGACGAGGAGAGCTGTGTTCGCGCCCCCTTCTCCCGCAGGAAGGGCGGCGGCGAGGAATTTGGTCTCGCACGCTTTTGCGTGCGAGATCGCGTATGTTGTACTTTTTTTTTGTTTTATTTGTGTGCTCGGGTTGCGGCGAGTGCGACCGAATACCTCTGGCAACACGGAGCGACGGCGGGCCTGAAGCGAGCGACGAGCCTAACGGGACAGGATCCACCGCTCGCTAACATAAGCGACAGGGGCCCCGATTAACTTGCCGCGGGGCGCCAGGAAGGGCTGGACCTTAAGGACCAGATCCCGGGGGACGCCCTGGGATACCAAGAACTTTCGGCAGTCACCTGAGCGCCCACGCCAGTTAGAGATGCCGTCGGGCACAAGATCCCGTCGACGAGGAGTTAGAGAATTCGGCGCCCTGTAAGGCGCCCGCGCTAAAGCCATACATTCCCGCAGGACCAATAGGATCTAGCGGCGATCGGCGGCTGAGACCGCGAGCTTAAGGAGCCTCGCGCTCGCGGAAAATTCGTCACTGTGCGGATTGCGAGCGACGCGAGTGCTACGGCGCCTCCTGCGATTCCGAGCGAAGGAGCGAGCGAACGAACGAGCAAGCGAGCCAGCGAGCGAGCGTACGAACAGATGGAGAACGGGAGCGAGCCCTGCGAGAGAGATTTGGTGAGCTGTCTTCCGCCTGTCGTTCAGCCCGGGCGCCGAAAGATCGGGATGGTTGCCGTCGCTTCACGACGGCAGCCGGAAGGGTTCGTCGCCATCCTTGACGACCTGTCCAACCTCGCGATCGCGGGCTCAGATTCGGGGCCCGCGAGAGAATAGCCGTCCTTCCCGCGTTGCCTGCTGCCGCTTCACCGCGTTCGCGGCCGCACAGGACGGCGAGCGATTGCGTGAAAATTATGACGACTCGCGATCATCCGTAGGAAGTGCGGGTCTCCGAGAGTGGCGAGAAATACGTGGTTCGCGACGTGACAACTTGGGCCGGGGCGTACCCGGCTGGCACCCAATTCAGCAATTAGCGTGTGACGATAGAATTTCGCGAGCCTCGTGCCGTCCGAACTCCGCGAGGCAGAAGAATCTTCGACTACGGATCCAGCTGCCGAATGGCTTCGTGACTACGCAACTCGGAGCCCGCACCGTGTACTTTTGTAGAACATTTCTTTTGTTGTTTTTATGTTAAATACAGCGTAATGTTAAGCGGCATGTGTGTTTATTGATGATTCCTCCGACTCTGTCGCCTGTTCCTCCCGTGTCGCGCGAAGGAAGATCGCGTGTCGACATACGAACCCCGCCGCTCTATCGAGTCAGATATCTCTTTTTTGAGAGCTGCCGGCAAGCTCGGCCGTCGCCGCAACGGCGGAGACAAAGTTTTGGCCGTATTCTCGTGTCTAACTAATTAGGAACGGTCACAAAACATATATAATATATATATTAGGTGGTAAACTTAGTTCCTGCGGTTTTTTTGTTTAAAAAACTCATTTATTTCGACATCAAAAGCAAAATATACATTAATCGAAGTATTTTCCCTCGCAAGCTATACATTTTTCCCATCTTTCGGGCAACGCGTAGATTCCGCGACGATAGAACGATTGGTCTTTTGATGCAATCAATTCATCGAACCA